ATGAACTAGGTTGATGGTGATAATTGTTGGATATAATCTTAGTGATGTGAATGTCCAATCTTTTATTGTTGGACAGATAATTTATAGTGGTATGGTTGCTTGGTGGGAGAAACTCTATGACCGCTTGGTGGAAGGAAGTCTTATGATCTCTTGGTGGTAGTAGTTGTTTAATGTTTGGATCTCAGTGCTATGAATATTGTCAGGTTATACACTGTGTTAAGGTACTGGACAGAAATTATGATAGCGTTATGTTATGATGGCTTGGAGTATCATGATGGGGTTTGGTAACAAAAACTATGGTGTTCCATTTAATCAATTATTTTAGTCTGTACATATCGAAAATCAATGAATCGGGAATTTGTAACTGTGATCTTGTTTCAACTACAAAAAGAATTATTTCATGTACCTGGAGACTTAATCATGTTAATGGTGAAGCTGATCAAAAAGTGTTTTTGGGGTAACACTTGTTTCAAGACATGTTGACATTGTTATAAGCATTACAGAATGATATTTTGTTGCCATTAATGTTGATTTTACAAGGCTGACAAGTAGATGTGGATTCAACTTGCGTGATGTCAGTTCAAGCCATTAAAGACGCCTGGTCAGTGAGTCATGCTGTGTAATTGTGATATTTATTACAATTTTCACTAAGTGACCATGAACAGGTGCTTGCTGGCCTGAGGCAATGGTTGTTGCTGTCAGTTGGTATTCCACAGAGATAAACATGATAAAGGTAGATGTCTTGATGATGGAGATGGTAACTGATATTTTGATGAAGAACATGATGAAGTAGTACAAATGGAATATCAATATTTTTTCCATCTGATTTTCAGTGTTTGACACCAAAGTGAAAATTCTACGCTTTCTGTGATTTTTTGTTAACTTCAGAATGTCTGTGGTGAAAAGGTAGATATAAAAGTGACCTTCTACTGCTGGGAAAACGTACAACATGATTCTTAGTGAAAATTCTACACCTTCTGTGATTATTGAATAATTTCATAAAATCAGTGGAAAAAAGGTTGTTTTAAAAGTGACTTGCTGGGAAAGCTTAGAGAAAACAACATGATTTGTTTGTTCAGAATTGTGTTATTCTGGACAGTTTCATGCAATATCTTAAACATGGATGAACAGTGTTTCGCTGTAATGTCGTCTCAATGGACAGGTTTGTTTGTAGCGCATGTGATGTGACTGTCACTGTGTAAGAGAGTAGGCTACTTGTACTGTCCCACTCCGACACTCGTAGTACAGCGTTGTGGAATCCCAAGAATTTGACTTCCGTTGAGAATTGAATGGCTTCTTTCTTAGCAGTTGAAGTGTATCCTATTTAGTACTGATCTGACTCTATAAGATTGCTGTTGATGTATAGGAGGGTCTATATAGACAAACATTGAAACCAGTGTATAAATTTTCACATAGAATTGTCCCGTAGTAAAAGTGTCATATCTTATTATGTGGATGTGTTCTTTCATGGGACTTCTGTTTAAGATAGAATCTGCTTCCTGTCACTCCTTTTGAGTCGAAATTATTTTTGCCAGCATTTTCAGGAACAAATGATTAATTTACACAAAATCCCAGTATCAAGGGTCACAGAAGGTTTGTTTATATTGGCAGAGTTACCTCCCCTTTTGAAAAGTGCCTCCATTTGTTGTTGAGTGAAATTTAAATTAGATTATTTTTTTGGCTATGGATAATGAATATGTGGGACACATTTTTTTTTATCAGTATGTGCAGGCAATTACAAGACACTACCCAGAGTTGCTTGTTGATGGGCTGTGTGGTAAATCATTAGATTGTTTGTTGCTGCGCTGGGTCATGGACTGGTGTTAATTGTTGACGAGCTAGTGGCATTACCTTTCTGCAGGGGAGTGAGGCTGGTATTTCTATGGAAACCAAGCTCTTTATATATCTTTTTACATAAGCCATTAATTCCCTTTCGTGTCTAATGGTAAGATTGATTGTGTCCTGATTAGATGGGGACTATCAAAGCTGGGAAGATTGAGATAGAAGCTTCTGTAACAGGAATTCATTTGAATAACTTTTAAATAATTTGATTCAGTTTTGTTGTAGATGTTGTGTGTCTCTTTTCAAATGATAGTAGGAAGTGTTTGATTCATCATTTTTGGGAGAATAGTAAACAGTTTATCCTACAGCTAGCACACTTTAAATGTTAAATAATATATACCCGCCACAGTGTTGAAGTAATCGTATGCGGTTTATCCCGTAAATATAACACTTTCGAATATATGCTGAATTAACTCTATTGTTACATGATTTATGTAATGCTCAGCTTTGTCACAATTATTGTAATTATGATAATATTTGAATGAATTAAGAATAGATGCATATGATCACGTGATCCATAACCAATTTACTGATCACGTGAAGATCCGGGGTAGAATTGGTCTTCAGCAAGCCATGCTTGCCATAAAAGGCAACTGGCTATGCTTGGTGTAAGAGGCGACTAATGGAGTCGGGTGGTCAAGCTTGCTGACTGGGTTGATGCATGTCATCGATCCCAATTGCCCCTGGATCGATGCTCATGATATCAATCACTGGATTGTCTGGTCCAGACTTGATTAAGTACAGACTGCTGTCATATAGCTGGAATATTGCTGAGTGCGGCGTTAAACAAACAAAACAAACAAACCAATTTACTGCAACAGTAACATGGCTGCAGAATGGTCTTCAGTTTAACTGACCAGCATTGGGGTTTTGTCATGATGACCATGCAAGTGCAACAGCCGCTGTCTCGGTGATTCCATGCAATGCTATTGACATTTCCCGCCCGACATGGCTCTTCCTAAGCCAGACAAAGTACTTGTGTTTTAGACCATATATGACAAGGGTGTCGTTGTACAAAGTGATCTGTATAAGCGCTTTGGTGATCGTAACTCCCATACATTAACATAGACTTACTACAGTCGTAGTGATGAGATTGTTTTGTACAACGGCACCTGAACTGATTTGTTAAGGGAGATATTATGTATATAATCTTTTAGGAATTAAAATAAGGTGTGAGGAAATACCATACCACTCAAGCCTGTCACTGCATGCAAATATGCCTTGAACATATGTTAGGATTTGGTGATGTTTTTATTTATCTTGCTGGTGCCTAAACCTAATCTATGTGCATAATATTCTATTTGGATTAGAGCTGGATCATTGAGTTTTTCAAAATTAAACAACATGTTTTCCTGCTACATTTTGTCAATGAGGGAATTTGGCCCGTGAAGATCCGGGGTAGAATAGGTCTTCAGCAACCCATGCTTGCTGTAAGAGGCGACTAACAAGATCGGATGGTCAGACTCGCTGACTTGGTTGATGCATGTCATCGTATCCCATGATGCTCATGATATCAATCACTGGATTGTCTGGTCCGGACTCGATTATTTACAGACCACCATCATATAGCTGGAATATTGCTGAGTGCGGCGTTAAACAACAAACAAACAGACAATGAGGGAATTGAGAAATTTATGAGAGACTATTCTGTTAAGTATCACCCCCAAATCACTGATATCAGATTCTTCTGTTTATTAACCCAGAAGTAATTATCAAAGCGGCATGCTTCTGTCAAACCACATGCACCGCCACAAGCCTACACTAAGTCCCAAACAAATCATTAAAGTTCATGCAGTGTTTCCTACCTTGCAATATAGGCTCCATCTGGAGGAGACAATCGGTTGGCATGCCGGCCCTCTCAGTATCGCGGACAATTATAATGTGTAAGTATGTTCGTGTACCACTGGTATAGGATCGGGAGGCCAGATAATACCTGTCACATGATCCTGTGCCTGCCCTGCCCCCTTGACATGGGGAGGCTTGACTCACTGGGAATGTGTGGAATGATCCCAGCTAATAAATAAACAGCCAGGTGAATGTTTGCAGGGCACCTGTTTTGAAACAATGGCTATTCTTGGTGATGGTTTGTTGATTAAATAGTCAATGCTGGGCAGTTTGTTTACTGGTAACTAAAGTTGGCTTTATGCTTTTTGTGAAATTTTACTGTTTTAGTTGTCCGAGTTATTAAGCAACATAACATGCATATGCGGCCCCTTTACTTACTATGTATATTTTGTTTGATAATACTTGCCTACAGTAAACAACAAATCTTTCAAAGTGTTTGGGCAGTGTTTTAATGCTCCTTTTTTTTTTAAACCAAAAGAGGGTGAAACTTGTGTACATCTGAAGAAAGCCATTAGCTTTTGTTCGTGATTTGTTTTCAGGTATGACTTCATCTTTCATTCAAAACTTGAGCATGACAAAACAAATTTACTATTTAAAAATAATAATTCAAGTCCACACATGACTGAATAACTATAATAGGGTATTGTTAACATGACTTTTTGTTCGGCCCAAAATACAAGAACAATGGCTTCTGTTACCATCGCAGTGCAAGTGACCACGGTGTGCTGCCATGTCACGCACAGTATGTCACCATGTGTGTGCATAGCTCTGCCAAGCCTATTGTAGTCCGGGGGATGGTCAGACCGGGTCTTTGATGGACCATGGCTGAAAGTAATTGACTGATTTAGCTAGTTTGGACATAGGCCGGAGACCGATTGACTCATTATTGGCTTAGTCCATGTGGGTCCAGACTGACCACTTGATGCTTTGGGTTGAGAATGAGAATCTTGGATAATGTAGACACTAGTATCAGGTTTCTTTGGCGTGATTCGGTTACAAGCAGATTATGATGTTTTGCACACTATAATGTGCACATTTGTTTGTGCTGAGGTCATTGCGTTTATTTAAAGGAATGATGATGGTGGATGTTTGAGGAGAAAAACTTTGTATCTTCTTAGGGAGAAAATTGCATGGCTGAGACTAAGTCGTTTGTTTTCCGTGGGCTCATATTTGATTACCTTCAGGCTGCACAAACTGGACTTACACAAGTCAAGTGGTTGCCCCATCTCCCCCAATTTGGATCAGTCTATGTTGGTTGTTTTGTGAACTGTTTTGGACCTGTGGGTTAGTTCAGTTTGGTGTGGGGGGTGCACAGGTTAATGTAACCTGTAGCTGGAGTGGACATAGGTATAGCAGCAGGTCGACTGTGGGAGTTGGAGGGTTGGGTGATATATATCGTGGCTTGTGTCATCTATAGTAGCCTAGCTGCCTTCGTAGCCGTCCCCCCAGGCAGAGAGAGTGGCCACAAGAGGGCGACAGGGGACATCTGGGCATTGTCCTACACCCCCAAATTGTTTGTTCAAACTTTTCATCATCAGCGAGCAGCCATACTTGTTTGGAACTAACGCTGTCTCTGGACGTAATCAGGGCACAACAAGCGAATGAAAAATTGGATTTAACTGTGACGTTTATTCCTGTGACTTATTCTTGAACTGTCTTGGGGAGATAGTTGCATCGTGGGAGGTAGAATGGAGAGAAAGAGGTAGGTGATCTTGTATTAAGAATTGTATTTGTTGTCTTATTCATAAACACTGTCGGCAATTGGTCATAGCTCAAGAATGTGAGTTATGTAATATTGATTTGCAGGTTCAGGCAATGGGAATGTGTCATTGATCGTATCTGTCGACTTGAGTTAAATACCCAGGCTTCAGCTGAACAGAAACGAGGGCACCTGCTTGTACACACAGACAAAACTGCAACCACGTTCTCAAGACTATTGTCATGTTTGCTTTTTCCTCATGGGAAGTTTAAGTATGAGTGCTATAGAGGCAGGCTGTGTCAGGTTTAATTTTCAAGCACGTTTGTGACTTAAAACAGAAGGTTTTAAGGTTAGAGTTAAAACTACCACAAGTCCTGTGGTCCCACTCCAAATTCGTAACGTGTCCATAAGGCTGATACAAATTACTTAAGTTTAAAAGTTTTCATATGTGTATCAATATAAAAGAGAATTATTTACCATAGAACTTGAATGTCTTAGAGGACAGTGAATTAATGGAACAAGTAGGACTACCCATTCCCATCGTCTAGAAATATTTAGGGAAAGTGACCCTTTTTAGTATTATCTGATAATTAAATAGGTGGGAGGAAAGTATGGTGATCTTGCTCAAGTAAAACCTGGGAGTAAATGTTACCATGGCGACAGCTCAAATAACATGTATTGGAAGATTTGGTGGGTAGCAAAGTATTTATATGTCATATAATTTTTTTAAAAATATTTCAAAAATATATATATTGTTGGGGCCAAAATAAAGCAGTCTTTTTTAACTTGGGGCCAAGAATAGCTATGCAGGCAGATGTGTTGTGATGTCTGCATCTGAATCCTTTGACAGAATGTCAACAGTTAAGTACAGAAAAGCCAAGACTGTCACTGACAAGTCAATGTATTGGTACATTCTTCTCCATGTCTGCTGTGTTGATGCATAATACAGGTCCCTACTAACTGATTGCTAAGCTTTGCCTCGGTGACAGAAATAGGTTATAGTGATATTAATAATTACAATAAGTGTTTGTGGGGACAGGTAGATAAAAGATGACAAACATGGTTAAAAATTAATTGCAAGCCTCAGGTTTGGTGCTGAATTTCTAATCCAATCTGAGTGATATATATTGATCTGTACATCACAATGTCATTCACTCGGCAGTAATTGATCTATCAAGGGGCGATCCTGTTTTAAGAGCTGAGCCACAAGACTGTCATGAGCCGACCTCTATTATGGTCGAGTCAAAGCGTACGGTAGACTTAATTCTCTCCTCTAAAGAATTGTTTTTTTTCTAATATGTAAAAGAGCTGGCTAGGCTGGTTTTGTTTTCATAAAGCACATATTTATTTCATATATTCCCCAGTCATGGTGCAGGACTTAGGTTGAGGTTGTGAAATAAAGAGCTGTGTCCCTTATGTGGGCTGGGGAGCTACAGTTAATGAGTTTATTTATTCTCAATACTTGTTGTTATGCCAAGATATGCTTGACAAATTTGCTTTTAACTATAACTTTATATTCATGACACACTTGTATATATATCAACTTGTTCTAATCCCTATATGGCTGAAATAATGCCAATGCGGCATAAAATATTAACTTACACTATTTTTAGGGAATACTAGGGAGTTCACATCACTTCCAGGAATGCCCCTGCACAGAGAGGAAATAAATAACAATAATAATAACAGCTGGCCAATGACATACATGTGTACAACTAAAATGTATGTGTGCCCGGTGTCTTCATCATGTTCATAGGAAATACAGTAGGTGCATATTGGTACTGAAGTTGCCCATAAGAGACAAGCACGTGTCAGTGTTTGGTACTCATCTGAGCATATGGCCAAACTTACATGAACTCATTTGAATGATAGGAAGTAACTTTTAGACAATATTAACACATTCTTTGAAAAGGGGACAGTTTGGGAGTATCTTCATCTGGCTCTATTTCCAACGATGCTTACTTTCCCAGAAAAGCTGTTTTCATCATTGCTTAATTGAAACAACAGGAACAAGCGTCAATTAGTGTTATCAGTGAAAGGACTTGTACTAGTCATCAGGGCAACAGGGAGAGAGTGTGCCGTCATACTTCCAGTGCTGGGTTGCACTGTTACATTTGATGAGTTTAAGGTGGACAGGGGGGGGAATTGGTCTAAGGCACAGAAATTCAATGTGCAGAGTTGCGTCCCTTGTTCTTGCCAGGATCCTGGAATCATGTTTTCAAATCCCAATTTGGTTGACAATGTGATTAAGGCATTCAAACCCCGGAAATATCCTGGCCTATTCACTGTGCATGACTACTTTTCTTGATCAACATTATGTGTTTCAGATTTACATGTTATTTCGTATTGGTTTAGTTGGTTCCAAATGAAATTCCGACACATTGAATGTACATTAGAAGCAGCAAATCTGAAAACACATGTGAATCTTCTAATTTGTGAGTGTGTGATGCTAAGATGGATGATGATCAGTAGACTAGGTATTATAGTTGGATAGGGCAAATTTTAATGTGATAGATTTATTATAGGAGCTTTTCAAGGCAATTGTCAGATGGCATCCAAATACTGGATTAGTTTGCCAAGAGGTGACTATGAGGATTCTTATAGAAGATTGAAAATGGATTGTCCCTTTACCACAACACTTGATGTAAGGGGCGGTTGGGTAGCCTAGCGGTTAAAATGTTTGCTCGTAACGCCGATGACCCGGGTTTGATTCCCCACAAGGGTACAATATGTGAAGCCCATTTCTGGTGTCTCCTGCCATGATATTGCTGGAATATTGCTAAAAGCTGCATAAAACCATACTCATGCAATCACATACTTGATATGAAGTTACTAAATCCGCTCAAATTATGATTTATGTGTATTGTACTTCAACATGTTAGTTGACCTTCTTCGATAAGCTCCTTGTAAGTAGAGCTGCAATAAATCAGTGTGTGTTTTGCCTTGGGTTATCATATTATATATTATCTTGAAAGCATGTCATCAAATCAGTTTCATAGTGTAGTAATACGTTTACAGATAGCATACCCGATCACCTGTAAAACTTCAAAATGGTTTAAATGTTTAGAATGGTTCATAAGAGGCGACTAACGGGCTTGGGCGGTCAGACTCGCTGACTTGGTTGATCCATGTCATCAATCCCAATTGCATGGATCGATGCTCATGATGTCAATCACTGGATTATATGATCCAGACTCGATTATTTACAGACCGCCGTCATGTAGTTAGAATATTGTTGAGTGAGGCTTTAAACAACAAACGGACATCACAAGCTTCAGCCCTGCTCACTTACGAATTTAAGATAATATCTATACAAAACGACTATAATATCGATGATGTTAAGCAACATGGATGTTGGTGCCCCTAAACACTAAAGTTGGCTTCCTGACATAAGTAGGATTTGTCAAGAAAAAATCTCACTTATCATGATTAACACAAGCCTTGATATATGTGATGAGGACCCCAAGGTGACAGAAAACACTGCTTGTTCAGGCTGCACTTGCCTAGTATGGAACTTGACCTTCGTTTGTCTGGAGAGTCAGAAAGGGTTGTTAGCTGCAGTGTATTATTTACAGAGTTCCAGGAAGGAAACAAGATTCATAAACAGCTCTACTTGACCCAGGTACAAACTCTGAGCTTTTTTGTCATTAACAGTATCGGCCAAAACATTATGTTCACCGGTAGGTTTTCCTTGCCAGATTAGGTGGTATCCAAGCTTGTTGTTGAAGTCCTTGGGGGATTGGGGGTCCCAATGTTTAGTGTCATAGTTCGATGTCATTAGTCTTAAAATTGATCTGCTACAGCATTGCCATCTGCTTGATGGTAAAACTGGTAGTCCACAAGGAAATGTCACCAGCTTTTCCTGTCTTTTCCTTGTCTCAGGGGGCGGTGGGGTAGCCTAGTGGTTAGAGCGTTCACTCATCAGGCCGAAGACCCTGTTTCGACTCCCCACATGTGTACAATATGTGAAGCCCATTTCTGGTGTCCCCCGCTGTGATATAGCTGGAATATTGCTAAAGTGGTGTAAAACCATACTCACTTACTCCTAGCCTCAGAGCAGCAGATTTTTGTTACTTTCTAACCCGGATTGCTGCTCCCTCAATTATTTACTGGTCGCCATATATCTGGAATGTTAATGTGGTGGAACACATTCAGTCACTCCCCACACAAGTTTAGTGAGTGAGTGAATTGGGTTTAATGCCGCTTTGAACAGTATCCCAGTTATATCACGGCGTGTCAGCTTAGTGTGGGAGGAAAGCTCGAAGTGATGCAGGACTCAGACGTTTACCACTTTGGTGAAACCCATGAGCACGGATATGGTGCTGAAAAAACGAGAAACATAAATGGGGCGAACGAGGATTCGAACCCACAATTTCGGGCATGTCCTAGGGCTGCAACTGCACATTGAATTGCGGCACCTTAGACAACTGTGCCCCCTACACAGGTTAACTGTGCTAGAGGAACAAGAGTATCTCTTTCTCTGGGCAAGTAAGGTTAATGCGTCCGTCCAACTAACATGACTAAGAAGACCATGGCTTGAATATGGTGGAATCAGACAAAACAATAACCTGGGATCAATAAGCCTGACAGCAGAATGTCTGATCAACTGGTCAACACAGCTCCATCGATGTCGCTTCATTAAACAAGCAGAGCACCATCATCAGTATTGACATATGTAACTTTTGAGGTGTTTTCGGTTAAAGTACTGTATTTGATATAATAAGCACCCAGGGCGCTCTCAAAATTAGAAATAAGGGGGTCTTATTTGAATATTATTTTGGTGAAAAAAAACCAGAGTTGAAAGATGTATTTCGTGGTTTATACTGACAGGCTGAAATGTATATATACGACAGATATATTTTTCCAGAATTTATTTGCTCATAATTAAGGGTGCATATAACACACGAGTGTGTCTTATATGCGAATAAATAAGTCTTATGTACATTGATCAATCGGAAGGGGTGCTAATTAGGATTGTTCACTAGCCAATATATTAGCAAATA